TCGATTAAGGTGATACATCTTCAAGACTCGGTGACTGGTCTCGACGAAGTTCGTATTGTTCAGGTCAAAGAGAGTGGATGGCGGTCGAAAAGCAGTGGACCATTTGTGTTTCCGTGGTAGAAGGTGGTCTCTGACGTATCTGCCAAACGTTCCGTCCGACATTTCGATTAACGAAAGTACGTTGTTAAAACTACAAAATCATGTTAGGTAGATTTTGATTTACCTTTCAACCGTTCGAGTGAACATGAGGCGAAAGAACAGTTGTACAATTTCTGATCGCACCCTCTACAAAAACGGTGACTGGGTTAATGTTAATGAACGAAACACTTACCCTCTTTATCACATTCCGAACAAGGTGTACGCGACACAGAATATGGTGTGCATCCGGATACACCTGCGTAATAGCAGCAGCAATTGCAGGTGAATCATCGGTCACAATGCCTACCAGTTGTCGACTGTTGGTACACCGTTGGAAAAAACGCAGGAAGGCAGAAATAAATGTTGACGTTTCGCGACATAAAAAGCCAATGCACATGGGTATTGCCTTAAAATTCATATCCAGGGCAACGACTTGATATAAATGGACGTTCTCGTTATTCGTTTTGTACGTCCCGTCAAAACCAATTACGTCACAAAAGTGACCGGCCAAATTCACTTGCTCAGCAGTCATGAAGAAGAAATACGATAGACAGTTCTCATCGTCCAATTTGTATTCGCAAAGCCCACCCAAGGATGTTATGTGAGCTTTCAATTTCCCGTAATCACCTATAGTGTACATTATAAATTGGCAAATTCCGTACCAGGAAGGTTCGCGTGTGAGAACACTTTGTACCGCATATTGCAGACATCTTGAGCGGTCAGACATTTCCCATAGGATTGGTAAGCAAAATTCTTTATGTGGAATGCAGCGGTACCGGAAATCAGCAGCGGTCTCACAGTTTCAAACTCCCCATCCGTTAACCTGCGCACCCATGAATTACCCTGGTACCTCAGGGAATTGCACTCGTGATTGTGATGTACATTCCCACGTACAACAGTCCAATAGCCGTCTATAATCTTACAAAACATAAATGCTGGACATTGGGTGTTCATAGAAGCCCTTCGTTAAAAAAATTATAAAACAATTTACCAAATTACCTCCTCCGTCTAATACGTTGTGACGAACCGCTAGATCTTATACGCCCATTTCGCCAACATACAAATTTAATGTAGGATTTTTGATCTCTGCCAATATGCGAATCTCTCACTACATAATGACTGTAAGTCGATCTTTCAAAATTCGTGATAGTGGTCTTTAACGCCTCAACCGATGGAAACGCAACCAGAAACAAGGTAGTCAAAAAGACTTCCTCCATTTCCGTGACGTGAGAAACACCAGCGCTTGTACTAGGCACATCACTCTGCTCCATAATGACGATTGAAATTGTGCTTCGTCGACAAGTACGGATAATTTATAACAATTTTCAAGACATAACTAACCAATGAAATCTAATTTTTGAAACTAGCCATTTCATTGGACGAAACACGGGATGAAAAATATTGTAATTTGGGGATGGAAAATTTTTTTTTTAAAAAAAATGGCCGGTCGGACAATATTATTCCACATGTGTGGCTACTGGCTTGTATTCAATAAACATCACACGTAACGATTATTAAACAGTAAGAAAACTTTCGGTCAGAACAAATCCGAAATCGGGATAAGTCTACCATTATTGATAATTTAGTCTTACGCAATCCGTTCGGTAAATATCAGAACTGGGGTTATGATCTCTAAGTTTTAAAAAATATGGAATGTACCAATCTTATCCTCTTCAAAGGACTTTGTGTTTGTGATGAAACGTCTATTTTTTCTGCGTCTGTATTGTTCAAAACATGCCTGGAAGTTTACAGAAGCTCAACTTTAAGCTGTCTGGCCGTTTAACATCCTATCTTTTCTACCTCATCTCTTTGGCATTCCCATGTAGGAATATTTCATATCGGATACAACCGGAAACTTGAGGAAGTTTGCAGATTAAAGAAAGCGATCTAGTATGTTGATTGAAACACCCAGGTAATCATAATTGAATATGTGGGACATTATCTTGACGTAGTAGCCATCTATCATAATAATAAAGACAAGACCCTATCTGATAACCATAGTTGCTTTTTCTATACATTTATTAGACAAACTGTATCAGTGTTTTGCTATAGATTTTCATGGTATGTAGAATAATCATCTGTTTCTTAATTGAGTAATTCTAACAAAATATCCAGTAATTTTAGACTTCGAATTAAGTTTGAAACTGGTTTTTTTCGAAAAAAATATATTGACAATGAATTGGAAACATTCCATTTAATTTCAGGCACGTGTTTCTTGTTTTCTGAATATATATATATAAACAGTCTGTATAAAAAGTGTACTTATCATTCAGATCTAGTGACTCCTACGTAAATTTTTCAAATTTTTATATCAGTAATCGAAATCGTTTAGTAGTTAACAAAGTACAGTAACTAGACATTTGAGCGACAAAAGAAGTGAACAATTTCAGTTAGAGATTTTGTTTTCTTTAGAAATTCAACATTGATTCCACATGAATATAGGGTTGAATCCGAACAAAATCTGATGTATCAAACAAGTATAGGGTGACTGAGTGATTCAATCATTATTAGTAAGTAATAATTAGTCATAATGGTAGTGATAATGATAGTGCGTTTTAACTCAATGGTATTGAAAGTTGTAAATGAATATTAATGAAGGCTAGAAACTAATTTTAGGTCATTGAATATTTAAGCGGTAACTAGAGCTCAGTTAATTGCACCAATAAATACAGTTATTTTTTTAATGGATAAATTTTGTCTATCAGTGAAATTAAAGATAAGCGTTTCTCCATACTTGGGACTCGTCACAAGCTAGATGTACTTAGATCTGAATGCTGATATTTATATTTGGACTCGACTGAAGATGTCGCTTTAAATATCAATTCATCATCCGTCGAGCTCTTGGGTCCAAATAGCCATTAACTTGATCAACAGATATGATGCTTATATTATGGCGCGGGAAAACGTCAGAACCTTTCAAATTTGCGCGCCGTTCCGACTTTACAAGATGCAGTCACTCCGTATTTCAAATGCTGTGGGATTTTTGGGCGTCCATTAGGTTTCATGAATGTCAGGTGTTCTCATATTTAAGTGGTCTTTCGCCGCAGCAAAACAAAAAAATCATTGCGAAGAACATTAATTTAGTTCTCTCTGTCTTGTAGTGAACACTTTGAATCGGTTTTGGCTTCGTAACTTCCTAATTTTCCTATTTTGAGGAAAATTTTGTCCGGTGTGGGTAAGTTTGGGAAATACTTTTGGTCGAGGGCATCCTTTTCTGTGTGCCTGGAAGCAAAAAGAATTGCGAGCAGATGTAACCTGAATCGTGGATAAAATGAGACATGCCGGTGTCCTTTCCGTCATATGCTTCTGGCATATATAAGAAGACGAACTCTTACAGGTAAGCTCGATCAATTACGAAATATATACTGCATAGTTAGTCATTTTCATAGACACACCTTCCATAATAGCACAGCAATTTCATTACCCAGACGAAGCAAACAGTATGTACAGATTCAAGGAAGCCAATTTTTACTCACGAATTATCAATAAGTAGGTAAGACTGTAGTTTCTCAAACGTTTGTCTTTGTGTAGTATCCGTAACGATAGAAAATATGGATCAGAATACAGCAAAGTGTGGAGAAGTGACAGGAACTGTTTACTATAGGAAGTTCTTTGTAGTATTTTTAACTTAACTATATATTCAACTTGTAAACTGATTTTTCTGCATCGAATTTTGCTCTTCCTGTACTAGTAGTAATGATGCATCAATAAACTGTTGCCCAATTTTTATTTTCGTCTTTTTCGTAGTTTCATGGGGAGATATACCGATAATCTTAACGAGTAACTGTTTGTGAAAATTAAAAACAAGTAAGAGTTGGCTTTATAAGTACCCGTTTTTTTACGAAAACTTGTAGTACTGCATCGGTCTAGAATTTTCACTAGAATGTTGCGTTGTATATATACGTTTCTTCACTATGACAGTGTATTCGGATAGATAATTGTAGTGGCATTGACTCTTAACCACACGGTCTTCGAAGCCAAGCATATAACGACTGAAAAGATGTATATTCGATATGTAACTCTTGGAGAAGGTTGGCAATGGTGGACGTGGAGATATTCATTCAATTGGATGGCATGGCTCAGACTTGCAGACGTGGCCACTATGTGTAACTTCTTAATATTCACATCAAATACAGTATTCTATACTCAGTACAAATGTGTTTTTCAGAAATGCTAAGTATTATTGTTAATTATCACGATACAATGAGTCAGTATAGACAGTGATGCGACTTCCACGTAAGATCTTACAGATTAGGCAATTAAATGACAAATTTGCCGTTTTCGGGTTAGGTCTATTATCAAAGTAGTATTAGTACCGAAATGAACTATAATTATACGCACTAACAGGATTTATAGTGCAAAAGACTGAGTATACTTGCTCTATATGTATTTCAATAATTCATTAGATGAATAAACATGGCAGTATTCAATATGAAACACAGTTATCGTCAACTTGTAAATTGTTTCTCCACATGATCTTTCATATACGGAAATTCGCTAAGTTGTTCACTGATATAGACATGATTATGAGAAGGGTTCGAACATCTTGATTCAATGACGGAAGCCATAATTTGCATATCAGAAAACGAATGAGGACTTTCTCAGCTTGATGCAATTCTGAAAAACAACAAATCAGTCGTAAAGCAAACGATTGAACTTCGTTAACAGTATCAAATTCAATAAGTAAATGAAATAGCAGCTAAGAGAATGTACCTATAATTGTCTTACTTGTAAACAGCTTTATTCATATTCTAACCGTCATAGAATTTCACCTAGTCATGGTTAAGTTATCATGCTCACAACAAACGAGCATCGTTTTACTTAAGAACAATACATGACTATTAACTGTTGCACTTACATTAATGTTATACACGGATTTTAGAAACAAGCATCAACATAAATCATCATCATCATCATCATCATCATCATCATCATCATCATCATCATCATCATCATCATCATCATCATCATCATCATCATCATCATCATCATCATCATCATCATCATCATCATCATCATCATCATCATCATCATCATCATCATCATCATCATCATCATCATCATCATCATCATCATCATCATCATCATCATCATCATCATCATCATCATCATCATCATCATCATCATCATCATCATCATCATCATCATCATCATCATCATCATCATCATCATCATCATCATCATCATCATCATCATCATCATCATCATCATCATCATCATCATCATCATCATCATCATCATCATCATCATCATCATCATCATCATCATCATCATCATCATCATCATCATCATCATCATCATCATCATCATCATCATCATCATCATCATCATCATCATCATCATCATCATCATCATCATCATCATCATCATCATCATCATCATCATCATCATCATCATCATCATCATCATCATCATCATCATCATCATCATCATCATCATCATCATCATCATCATCATCATCATCATCATCATCATCATCATCATCATCATCATCATCATCATCATCATCATCATCATCATCATCATCATCATCATCATCATCATCATCATCATCATCATCATCATCATCATCATCATCATCATCATCATCATCATCATCATCATCATCATCATCATCATCATCATCATCATCATCATCATCATCATCATCATCATCATCATCATCATCATCATCATCATCATCATCATCATCATCATCATCATCATCATCATCATCATCATCATCATCATCATCATCATCATCATCATCATCATCATCATCATCATCATCATCATCATCATCATCATCATCATCATCATCATCATCATCATCATCATCATCATCATCATCATCATCATCATCATCATCATCATCATCATCATCATCATCATCATCATCATCATCATCATCGTCATCATCATCATAATTAGGGTGTTCAATTAAATTTTCAATGTCTTAGAGCTGATTGTTGCATAATACTTTGTTAGAGGTCTAATTTTGGTTTGTTAAATGATGAATTTCAATTGCCTCAGATTGCATTGTTAAAATTAACCACATTATGCTGACTAAACCTTCACCCAGATTGTGAGCAACAAATACTTTAAGCTACTAATAAACTGGAATAAAAGCTATGTAACAAGTACAAACACTATGATAATTGATGTGTGACTGAGAGTATGTTGTTAATAGCTGATACATATCTACATCCCAAAATCCTCGGCAATATGTAACATGTATTCGAAAACATGTGCCTTAACGTCCTGACCGGACCTTATATTATTATTAGTATATAATTGAATTATCTGGTTGTTGATATTCAGAACTGAATTTTAATCAGCCTTGTTTTAAAATATATATGCGTTCGATCCAAAAAATAGCGATTATTTGGATTTATTAGTTCAGTGGATAATTCATTGATGTTTAAATGGAAAGGTGCTGTATGGTGATACAAAAGCGAACATCAAAACTGAAATGTAAGTACATCTAGCTTACGACGAGTCCCAAGCAAGAAGAAATGCGGATCTTTAGTTATACTGCTAGCCAAATCCATCTAATCAATAAAACACATGATAAAATGTCCAGCATTCATTTATGCTAACAAAGACATAAAAATCCACTATGGTTATGAACAGTGGATTCACTTGAACTATTACTAATAACGACTTAAATGAAATGTAATTTTCATTTGTATTTAAGTGATGGAAAGAATCATGATAAATGAGATTAGAAGTTATTGATTATTTTTAAGCTGATAAAAAGAAATATGTTTTTCTTGGTATTGTGGTTTCTATTTGTATTATGTATGTATCTAATTTCAAAGAAACACTCACTATTTCATTGAGAACAATATTTATAATATCTCATGTTACATCAACAGTTGTTTTTATTTGGTAAATCTGTTTAACAGACGTCATCGTACAGTGGTAGTCTAAAACAATTAAAATTAATGAAATAACTATTAAAACAAATGCATAGATAGTGAGATTCTATACAAACTATAAAAAGATACACTATACATTTGGCTCACACGGTAAGAGAGATACAAATATGTTAATGAATCATTCGCCTATCCATGAGAGCTGCCTAATTGTTGTTTTCTGGATCATTCTGGAATTCCATAAATACACAAGAGCTATGAACAATTATGATTCATCTTTGAGCAGTACAGATTTTCATACAGCCTTTGCTTTAAATTAATCTAGACAAATGTTACGAAAGTGTATATTAGCTCAGTGCAGCAACGTACTTTATCAGGATATTAGATCCTATTCTTATTACAGTCCCGGAGTATAATAATTTATCAAATGTAATACGAAATCATCTAAATGGTTTCTTCGCATTCTATTTTGATGGTCAGATATTTAGCGGTTCTAAACACTCATGACTGAGGATCTTCTAATTCCATATATTTATTTGAACTAGCAAAGTACACGTCTTGAAGTTAAATGTCGGACGGGAGAACACAAACCATTTTTAATTATGATGTTCACGTAAACAGGATTTTTAACTGCACACAAATAACGCCATTGAAGGTCTATTTGTATGATATTCATTATATTATTAAATATTTTCATCAAAAAGGTAAATCTTACGCACGATGAAAATGTTGTTGAATTTATCCAACCACTAGTGTTAAGGATTGATATTATCATATTATTTTATTTTTACGGTTACAGAATTCATGATAGCACTTATTTGGGGTATGATTTTTGCTATGTTGTGATTTTTTACTCATCATGACTGACCGTGTAACACCCGACACCTAATCAGCGTGATGGAGTGTCATTTTCGTTGTAGGAAACTTTAGATTTCTCATATAAGCCAGCAAAACGAGAGAGAGACTGTAACCCGCTCTTCAGCATGGACTACGATAGTATGAATAATAATTCTCCTTTCATTTTTGGTTGGTTTCCAGGTGCAAGATCAACATTATGAACGAGAGTGCAGCTTATCCTCAGCCCTCTGGAGTCATATGTCACCGACCAGGGACCTTCAACTAACTCTTTCCTGGGCTCTCTTTTCTAGTTGATGACACGTGTTATTCACTATTTTGATGTCTGCCTCCAATTTCCTGCTCAATGCATTCTTTAGTTTCCTTCTTTTCTTTTTAACTTGAAGATTCCAAGTGGGGGATTGGCTCTTGGTGAAATTAAATGGTTTCTGCATAGTATCTCCTGTACACATCCAAAATCCTTTTCTAGTCTATTTCTTAATTGGTAGCTGATTTTTGTACTAACACAGTAGGTAATTGTTGATGCTGTCTGCCCAACAGCTACAGAGTATGTTGAAAAGCCACCTATTTATAATACATGTACCTGAACCTTTTTCGTCATGGTTGTGGCAGCTCTCAAGGTTTCAGCTCAGTACGGTGGAACTATTTTGACGTTTGCATCGAAAATTCTGACTTTTTTTCTTGATACAGTTGTTTTGAGTTCCGAATATTCTTTAAATGTAGGAATACTGCTCTTGCCATGTTAACTCATGCTTTGGCATCTGCATCAGGTCTTTTTGTTTGTCACTGTTGCTACCCAGAAACATAAAGGCTTTCACCTCTTCCAGAACTTCTCCAACAGTTGTTATTTGGTTAGTGTTCTTTATGCTGTACTTAAGGATCCTGTTTTTCCTTTGTGAATTCTGAGGCCGACTACTGTGGGTACCGCTGCTACACAGTAATCATCTGCATTTTTTGCTGCGTACGGAGTGAAAGAGCTAAATCGTCTGTCAAGTCCAAATAATCCAGCTGGGTCTATGGTGTTCACTATATTCTGTGCTTCTCCAGAGCTGTATAGGTTAGGTTCTCTCATAATCGAGTCAACATCTAGCATGAAGAGAAAAGAGGTCGAGCGTAGGTGTTCTTGTCTGACACCAGCCTTCACTGCAATGGATCTGCCAACTGCTCTCTTTAAACAACTATGCAAGTCAGTCCTTCATGGGAGTTTCGTTTAATGGTGAGGATCTTAGGATTCTTGGATTACTGAGATGGTGGAGAAGATTTCTAGCTCAGGTGGATGATTTTGATGGAGTTTTGTACTCTGAGCTGGATGGTTTGGTCGTGGAGCTTTCATCGGTCTTCTGAACGACATCATCAGCACAAACTTCAGATAGAAGTGAAGAGTTCGAATTTCTCCACATGTGGTTCACAGCTTGTCCTGTAGACCTCAATGTTGATTGGTTTAAGGTCAACAAGAACCAGTCGACATCGAAGTCTACAGGACAAGCTTCTATCTGAAGTTTGTGCTGATGGTGTCGTTCAGAAGAACGATGAATCAGTGTAACGTCAAGAATATTTTATTTTAGTCATTTAGAGCTTTCTATGTCTAGTCTATGTACAATTTTGAAAAAATCATAATATTCTTGAAGATTCATAAACAATGTTATACATTTCACATAGATAAGAAACAATTCTGTTTTTAAAGAGTTAAATTATTCAGTTTATAATTCAATGATGTAATTGTCTGTCTAATTTTTACGAGGGTTCGTTGGTTAACTTTATTTGATACAAGAATTTTTTGCATAATGGTCTGTAGTCTAGTATACGTGAGATCTTTGTGTTTCATCCAATTCATGATGTTAATATTAACACAAATGAAAGTACATCTGCATATAATGTTCATCGCAACAAAGTGGCTGGAAAAACTCTAGTAGTTAATTAACCTAAGATCCTGTGAATGAATTTTCAATGTAGTATGCATCGAACTGAAAAAAACTCCTCGGCTACTCGAACAGACCTGAGGAAAAATTTACAAGTTTTCTGCAGCTTGACATTATCATCAGAGTTACGTCTATATGCTCATTTCAAAATGGAACCAAATGCATCTTTCAGTGATCAATACTAGAGATTATGGTTAGATGCTAACAACAGATATAACATTCAAACAAATCATTTATTATTAGACTTTACCCTAGTAATCTTATGTTATTTGTAAGAAATCAAAATTCTTTATTTGATTAAAAAGAACTTCATGAAGTGTGAACAATTTAAAGTAAGCACTTCGTATTCACTAACAGTTTCACTACATAGTTATCGATCTTACAATGAAAATAATTATCATATCTAAAATTAAACAACATAATTATCACTGATCATCACAATTGATTGATCACTGGGTGGTGATCAATGTCATATATGTCAAGTCCTTCTTAGTGCAGATCGAATGCTATCGACCAAGTTGCGATGTGGCCACCAGTCTAGGTGACTCGACGCTGCGGGCACTATATATTGAAATTAGATGGTGGTTGTAGGTAGTCGAATCCGCCAGGCAGTACCAGTTGCCTCAAGATTACAGGCACACCTTGCTGACAAGTGCCAAGTAGAACGAAACCCGTGTCCAGGGTTTCATGTCAACCACCTCCAACCACCATTTAATTACTGATCATGTTTGGTGCTTTATAAAGTTTCCGTCTAATGGTTTAGACGTATTTTATAGGTAGTAATAGCTTTTTGCTTTGATATATAATCGAAGTGGCTGTATCTGACCTAAGTTTCGTTTAGAATATATTGTCGCCTCAAGATAGTAATGTGGATTATTTAAATCGTTTATAGTTGTTACTCATAAGTGAAATGATAATAGTGCCATATGTGCTAATCAAGATGAAAGTAGACGACCAGTTGAATGTACAAATAAACCAGTCAGATCGATAAGTTTTCAATGTTATCGTTAAATTACCGAATTACTAAAACTTATCAACCTTAACCCCAACGTGCTTGAAAGGAACTGATTTAATCTGTAGGCTGTATTTGTCATAGATTGATCTCAGGTAATCGAAGGACACTAAACAGTTGTTTCGTACTAGCTTGGGACTCATCAACAGTGTAAAAATCAGGATCTTCATGTCTCCTTGTGAATGTTATAATGTTACAATATCAGCCTTGATCGATTTGCGATGTTACGCTGCGAACGACATTTATTCGCCTCTAACAAGCAC